TCGTAGGAGGGAAAAAATAACACCCTTTCATTCTTGCTGACGTCCCTCAGCTGGTGCCCATTATAGAAATTAGCTCAGGCAGTTCAAGAACTAAATAATACAAAACTGATCTAAAGCTGTAAGAAAAATAATTGCCAGTTGGAGCCACTCCAGCACCTCGATGACAGCCCAACGCCACGTACCAAAGCAGGGACCCTCGTGCCTGCACCTGCACAGCCTCAGCAGGTGGAAGCTGACTCACAGCACGAATGCTGAGGCTATCCATGGGACGGGTGGGTATTCCATCAGCTGTAGGGTTGAAATTATCATTCACATCCTTCAGAGTATGTACATAGGTTAATGATGCAACTGGGCCAAAACGTACCGAAGCACACAGCCTTCAGAGGAGGGCAGGTCCAGCATCAGTGAAATGAGTCCTCAGTGGTATAGCAAAAAAACCAAACCCAAACATCTGAAAGGAGCAACAGAATCCAAAAGGATTCTGAGTTTCCAGCATGATGCCCAGGAAGCCAAGGCCTTGTTGCTGCTCCTGCCCTATGCTGTTTCCTACTTTGCAGTCTGGGTGACCCAGTAATCTTTCCCAGTCTTAAACAATGATGATAACATGTCTGTTTAATATAGGAGAAAATAAGAAATGTGCTGAACCACATGCACCAGCTTGCCATAAATATTAGCAGTAGGAGATAGGAAACGAAGACAACTTTCTCCACAGCTATCAACTCTGTACTAATTCAGTATTAAAGGAGGATTTTTGTGAGAGGGCGAGCAGATCCTGACCCTCCAAACAGAGCCCTGTGAGCCAAAGGGCTTGGTTTGGGCTCATGCAAATTAGCAAATACACCCCGAAGATATCAGAAATTATACTTACTTCTAAAAAACAAAACAAAACAAAACAAACCATGAAGGGGGCAAAGTTAGGAATCGGAAGGAACCTTCAGCTCCCACTCCCTGTTCCCCTTGGGGTAGCAAGTCTTTCATGCCACAGCTCCCACAAAACGCAACCGCAGGCAGAAGGAACCAAGCACAAGCATCAACATCTCGTAGCACTTTGCACAAAAGGAACTGCTGGACCAAGCAGTTCTCCATCAAGCAAAAGCAGGAAGAACATCTAATTTAGGCCATTTGCAAAGCGAAGCTGGCATCAGGTGCAGCTTGTTACATACCCCACAAGGAGCAGCCGATTTCATCTGCAACTTGGAAACTGTAAGTTTGTTTGCTGCTCTCCTTGTAACATGGCAAAGGAAAGCTCACTGCCACGTGCTGACCTTTGTATAGTCTGAAAAGAGCACGTGCCATTAAATCCAAGGCACTTCTGACACGGAGCTCTCCTGAGACCAACAGCTGCTCCGTTTGCTCCCTCCAGCTTCGCCCCAGGCTTTGCAAGGACCACTGCTGGGTAATTAACACAGAGCATCGTTTCTGCCCCAACAATCTCAGTGAGCAGAGGGTGGCCCAGATTAGTCGCTCCAGTCCCCATCACCCTTCAGTCTCCCAGCACAGTGATGGGAAGCCAAGACATGCACAAAGGACAGTGATAAGGCTGACAGCTCAGAAGGTCAGGCAAGTCATTTCGGGAGCATCACATCCATCTTCTCCAAGGACAAAAAAATAAATAGAGGGGCAGGTGTGAGGCTACAGACCTGCAGGACTCTGAGCAGCCCAACTGACTCCCGTGAGTTTCCCAGAGAGTGCTGTGCCAGCTGAAAGGAGAAGAGGGTGCAGCAGCTCGTTACAGGCTGCATTTAAACCAAGAACACTGAATGACAGCAACTCTTGGAGCATCAATGCTGCTTCTAACCTGAGAAGACCAAGGCACCAGGCAAACCAAAGCACGTGGTCCTGAAACACATAGAAGACTGGCAATGAAACGCTTTAGGGAATTAGATAATTTAGTGACAAGCTGCAAACACTTTTAACCAGTTTGGAAATAAAAAAAAATTACAATAATTCAAAAGACAAATGGAAAAATTCTGCCTAGAAAAGGAGCACACAGCATGAGATCACAGGATTCAGTAGACTATAAAATAGGAAATGAGACTTACTCTTCTCCCCCTACAGCTACACAAAACCCTCCTACATAGATTACAGACGTGCTTGGCAATTGCCTTCCTCCTCCAGCCTCTCCTGTTGTGGACAAGGCAGGATTGGTTGAAGCCTGAAAGCAGAGAGGATATTAGATAAAACATCTTGCAAAGCCAAGTGTGAAATATTAACAACAGGAGGCAATGGCTTGTGTTCATATGCAAGATCACAAATTTGGTGCTCAGAGAGCCCGAGATGTCCTTGCACACCAGAATCTCAAAGCGCTTGTGAAATATTTCATTTAAAAACCCACTGAAGCCTACTGGAAAATTTCTATCAGTTCTGTTATTTGCTTTATTTCCTCTTACTTCGCTATTTTTATTCTGTGACACCGAGAAATTAGGCATGAATACAAAGGTTATTCCTTCCATTCATCTGGTCGGTTTTAAAACAATTTGTACTTGTGAAGTGGGCACTCTGAAAGCCTGTATTTGTACATGAAATTAGCACAACTGTGCACGCTGCATCCGAATTGCTGTGCATTTGTACACACAGTTACCCAATTTGCACACAGAACCACAACAACCAGGCAGGCAACATGGATGTGCAGCCGTTCAGCTGAGCAGAGCGCGGCATCTGGCACTGGGAATTTTGGTTTTGGTAGGTGAAAAAGATGGTAGTTAAAAAAGATGGTAGTCCTGGACATGGCAGAGCTCCTTTTTATCAAGTACACGTGGCACAGACAGCAGCACAGCTTGCTGCCCTTACCCTACCTCAAACTTGCCTTGGAGGAAACTGCCTCCCATTCAACATCTACAAAAGGCTCAGCTCTTGTTTATCCTGCAGTCCAAGCTGCCCACTAATTCCAGCTGTGACAGGACTGTGTGCTAAGGACATCTATTCAGCACTGACTACCAGGAATAACCATTTCTTCCACTTCAGAGCGTAACTGAGACCTGCTGTTGCAATCTTACATGAAAAAAGATTAATGCTTCCGAAATCCAAGCAGCAGCTAAGGAGAAACATAAGGACAGGGAGCCCAAGAGCGGATGTAGGGCTTCTTCCACCTTTGCAAGGGCTTCTGTGGATAGGAACAGGGGAGGAATATGAAAAAACTCTCACTCAAAGATGCATTACCTGTAGATTTTTCACCCGAATGGCAGCTGTGGCTCTGCAAACTGCACTTCATCTTCAGCAGTTTCCCATCAACATCTCATTTTTTTCCAAGCAGGCTGATGATGAGGGCAACCACAGCAACAAAACGACTCGGGGCAGCTGTGCATCACCAAAGGAAGGGGCAGAACTGCGGAGTGGGCAGCTGAAACCCAATCCCCACACTTGGGGTCACCAAGAAGCCTGCAGCCATTCATCACCAAAATCCAACGTAGCATGGCAGGACAGAGCAGTTTCCAACCCTTAATGCTGCACGATGAACTGATTTCTGTCCTCAGTGACTGCAGGTTAGGCAACACAATGCTGAAGGATGATGTGCAAGAGGTACATTTTCAGATAATAATCAAGCAGTCCCTCATCTGGAGGTGCTGCATGGCCTCAGAGTGCCACTTTGTCCTTGTTGGGCTGCAAAACAGCCGCAGTGCACCTGGCCAACATTAACTGGAGATGTTACATTTATGATTTTATGGCTGATATTTTCCTCTACCCTCTATCAATTGAGTTCACTGTCTGAACGATCGCATCTGTTTATGTTCCACAGACACCTGCGTATCTTGAGATGACAGCAACTCCCTGAATACAGTAATCAGTTATTTCTCAACAGAGGAATTGCCAATTTGGTAAATAAAGCTCATTATAAAAGAGTGTGGATATGTATTACAGTTGCCTAACAGAAAAAAAATTGTCCAGTGCTGCCTGATAATCAGCCCTGGCATCGTAGTCCCCCCCAATTTAGGGCAGCTGAAATAATGACATGCAAATTACTTATGCCAAGGCAACATTAGATGGGGGCAAGAGGAAAATGAAGAAGAGACAAAATAGGTATTTTTCCTCTTTAGACCAACGACAATGTAAAATCTAGTCAGTGACAGGCCTTGCTTCTTCACATTTCCACATGCAGCATCAGAAGTCCTGCTGCTCTGCAGAGCCCAGCCATCAGAAGCAGATCCAGAAGCCAGCACTGCAGTCCCAGCAGAAGCCCACCCAGTGCTGCCACAAACAGACCCGAGGACACACCGTATCCTGCTTTGCTTTGGAAAACCCCCCTTCTTTTGGAGATACCCAGTTTGACCTGCAGTGATGAAGAGTTGGAATTTTTGTGGCATCAGCTCTCAAAAGGAAAGTTGCTTTAATGAAGATATAAAGTTCTAAGTTGCTGCCCAAAAGCAGAATATAACATAGAAAACAGTTCTCAGTTCCCCTCATTTATTTTCATAAACACTACCTTAAAATCTGACGTGACCTCCAAAAATCCACGATCGCATTCTTCAGAACCTGTCAGACACAGCAAGGAGGACACGAGCAGCAGAGGCTGCCAAGTGGAGGAGAAGCTTTAGGCAGAGAAAGGGAATGAAGTTACAAACCAGACCTGTTCCTGTTTTACTGACAGGTGTCTCTGCTGCACCTTCCTCCGGCGGGATGAGATGAGAGAAACGGAGTTCCCACTTGGCTGCATGAGAAGGCACACAAGCAAACAAGACCGGAGTGCACAGCAGAGCAGGAACTGCACACAACAACTGGAGTAAAGAAAGACGGCTAGGGCTCTGCATGCAGCACGCAGGGTGTTTTTCAGTATGATTCACCAACACTGATTCTCTTTGGCCAGGACTTTACACTCTTCCAAGTACTTTCAAATAAGCCAACCTCATTCAGCCTGGGACCTCAAACAAGTTTTGTGATTTATAAAGTGTGATTGGAAAGGCTCCTATTCCCCATACTTGGTGGGAGTTTTCGTTGGCATGGGTAGGAGGTAGGAAACAGCAATCTACAAACTCATGGGACTGAAAGTATCTCACAGCACACAGTGACCATTAAACACTTTATTACTTAGGAGAGAACCTCAGAAGGGAAGAAACACGCCTGCTGGTGTAGCCAATCAGAGCATGCTAGGAACAGCTAATCCCAACAAGCTAGTCAGGGTTATTTCTAAGTACTTCAGTCCCTTAATTCTGGAGCAAACGGACAAAATAACAACTCTTGAAACTCAGACAGGGGTTGGTGAAACCAAAGCTAGCACAAGGTGAACCAGGCCTGTGTGGAGTATGCCTCCAAGCAACAAGTCGTGCTGGAGTCAAGGCCATTCTTTACATTCTATTATAATACAAAAATGAAGCAAGTGTTCCCCTCTCCTATGACACTCTGCCTGGCTCCAGAAGCATCCACACAGACCAGTACATGCAGGCCATTAAAAGAGGAATCGTATTGTTGTCTTGGACCATGACGGGCAGAAGGCACCAGTTTTGGTCAGCGTCTTTCCAGAAGGATGCTGGGCCTTCCAGGGAGCATCTGTGGTCCCTGTCCTCTGCTCTTTGGTGGCTGATGTTTATCCAGAGTTAACTAAAAGCTCCTGGAAGGAAAAAAAAAGAAGGAGACAAAGGAAAAAGCAGCAAGTTAGTTACACAGCTGTTGGCCTTGGACTATTTCTTTCAGAAACAAAGGAGCAATGCTGTATGAGTGACAGGCTACAGAAAATTCCTCAGAAAATGTATCAGGTATTGCCTTCTGCAAAACGCAGTCAGACACTCAAGGGACAGAGGACTGTGGAAGCGAGAGAGCAGGTCATGATATCAAGGCAAGGCTGACTGTATGAAGAAGAATATAAGGTCAGTTGTAAACAATCAGGACTTATAAATCTGATGGCCTGCAGGAGAGTGAGGCCACAGACCCAGCTGAGGCTCAGGGCAGCTGAGCAGCAGGAACGAGCACAGCTCCACACTAAGCCTCAGCCCCAGCAGGACATGAGAGCACTTGGATCAGCAGCTGCCAAACACACACCACTCATCCCAATGCTTGGAGCAGGACCAGCATAAGAGGGGAAAGAAAATAAGAGAGCAATTCAGAGACTACCCTACTAAGAACTTTTAGCTTAAGATACAAACCCTCTTAAAATGGAACATAAAGAGTGCTTACCCACATTTACAGAACCCTTCTAAAGCCAACCACAGAAAGACAGCTGAACAGCCAGCTGCACGGGATTCCATCAGCCAGCTAACCAGGCTGGATGGGTGCTTGGTTCTACTCCTTGTGCAGCAGGCATTTTTAGGAAGGAGACTGTGGTTCCTCAAATGTTCTTTTGGTACACCTTGTAAAAACAGTGCTGCTACCACACATGGCAATGCCTGTTGGAAGGTGAAGGTGCTGTTTAGGCTGCTTCTGCATAGCAGGCCGATATTCGCTGCTTAACACTTGCAAAGTCAGCATGCCCAGACCACACTGACCACACACCTCCACAGAGAGCCCTGTCTCTAACAACAGTGAAACAGAGAAGCTTCAAGAGATCCAAGAATTAAGAGAAAATTGTTTGCCAAATTATTTAGACAAAGCTTAGCCACAAATCTGACAAATGAACCATCAATATTACTTGACTGCCTTTAATTTCCCAGGTAATTTTTCTCACCATCAATGACTTACAAATTTCACACAGTGCAATACATTTTAAAAAATTCTAACAGCACTCGCACAAAATGCAATGAGCAAAGCAGCAACAGCTCCCAATCAATTTTGCAATACAGTAATTTGCTGTTTTTGCACTGTAACACTTCAGTCAAGTGTCAAGGAACACTCTGCTTTGTGATAAAGCCACTGTTGTGACCACTCTGCAGTTAACCCCTACAGAAGGCGTCAAAAACTTTTCTGTAAAGCAGTTTTACAAAACCTTTGTTACACAATTTCATGTTCATAATCATAACTACATTCTTTTACTTGTCCAGGAGAAAACACAGCCAGCACTTAACCTCAGTCGATTCCTCCCAGCCTGGCCCATCCACATTCCAAGGACACATCCAGCTGGAGGCTCACAAATACTCCTTGTGCAAAAACATCAGGTTCCATCTCACGCCACATGACTAAGCTTTCCCAAAATCTTTTGCAGCCATCACTGGGCCAAAAGCTGATGGGATGCCAAACAGGCTAGACACCAATTTCCTGCCGTGCTGCTCACACCAAGGGCAGTTTCTGGGAACAAAAGATGTAGGTAACAATACTATCAATCACTCTGCACTGCTTCAAAAGAAAGAAACAAACAACAACAGGAAACCAGAGTGCAGTCTCTGAACCTGTCCAGCCCCAAATCTTCTGGGGAATGTGCTGTGCAGTGCAGGCATCATTAACACCAATAGCTCTGGAGATCAGAGGCAGAGATCAGAGCTCTCCTCCTCCAGCAGTGCCTGCAGAGCATCACCCAGCTGTAGCACATCTGCATGTGGAGACTCTGAGGGCCTCCTGGTCTGTTAGCAGCTGATGGAAGAAAACACTTGTCATCATATGCACAAAATTGTTTTCGCTGTTCCTGAGCTGTCAGTTCATAAACCTGTGGCTAACTACTTAAAAGCACAGTTCCTTTGATTTCATGCCTCACGCGCTGTGTAATAGCGTGGAAGGACGCCACTTCTCCACGACTAAACCCATTCTTTGCTAAGCCAGCCGTTCACACCAGTGTTTCAACTCCAGCTAGCACTGCAGCCCCATGGATCCAGACTTGGCACCCTCTGGGGTCCCTTCCAACCTGGAATCCTCCCTGCAACATGCCCCAGGGCTGCTACAATGCTTACCTTCCCTTTGATAGGAGGAGCTAGGAAGGGGAAGGAGCAGCCTTTTCTCTCCTGCACATCCTTAGCATTGCAGATGTACCAGCCAGGCTACACAAGCAACAAGCCCAGGCAGCTCACAGCCACAAGCTGTTCCTGCGTGATGGGATCCTCCCAATTAATCAAGTTGAGGCTCAGCCTGAAGTTAAGTGATGCATCACAGAGTAACTGCCCCGCGGCCAGCTCTGGATGTTCTCTGCTGCAGTATTAGGTAAGAGTTCAGGATGCAAGCAGCCTTGAAGCATGCAGCACTCACTGATAAATCAGGATGGTGATGGTGCCAGTTCCCTTCATGCAGAGGGAGAGCAGATTGTCCTGAGTGTTAGGCAGACACCAGGTTCTGATTTGAAAAACTCCAGCCCAGCACTACCACCTACAAGAACTGTGTCTTCAGTATGGGGTTCGAGGCAATCCATCACAGCTGTGTCCCAGTGCAGGAGCTCGGCATCCTCTCCATGCTCCATGCCTCGGCTCCAGGTGAAACCCATGAACTCCAGGCCTTAAGGAACCTCTTCCCTCTGGATTTGCCAGATGCAGTCTGCCAAGCCCCAGCTGGACCAAGATGTATTTATTTAACCAGCCTTTAGTCTCACAGGGGTAAACCCTGCAAGTGTCCTCAGTGGATGCCTTACTTTGTATTGACATTCCTTCAAGCAGTCACACCATGGAGCCTGCACATCTGGGCACTGTGTAGCCACGAAGAAATCAGAGAGCAGACCTCCATGATAAATGAGTTGGTGCATTTGGAATGTCAGTGACAAAGCAGAAATTAATCTCCATAGTTCCCAGCTCTGTGCCACGCGCAGGCAGTTTTCTCAAACCCAGAAGACCTGTAGGCATGCAGCAGACTTCAGTAACATGACCGAGTCACTTCTTCATCTCTGTTCGTCTGCAAAGAGGCACTAACAAACTACAGAAGTCCTCACCTGTCCTAAGATGGGTGTCCAAGGCCTTTCTGCTGGTTAAGGCATTTGTTGCGGGGCTATTAGCAGCCCATAGCATTGTAAGGGACATTTGAGTCACTCCGGTTTGATGTATGCTGTAGGTATTTTTTGGTTATGTGCAATTTGTTCTGTTACATTCGGGGTATTGGCTGTTCTGCTGAGCAGCTGTGCTGACTAATGGATCGTAGCACTTCTGTGCCATACAGTTATTGCACAGAAAAGCCTCTCTGTCTCCCTCATCCTTCAGAAGTCCAACAGTTGCTGTCCTTGGGTTTGGAATACGAAGGGGCCGGAGTACGCCTGGCAGCAACAAAAAGCATTAATTCAAAATGCTATTAAAAGAGTTTTGTTGTCCCTCTTCTCCACGTTAACAGCCTTGCAGAGCAGAGGAGCTCACCCAGTGACTTCTCAGCTGCTTCCCTGGGACAGGGCCCTCAGAGCAGGGCAGCAGAACAGCACTTTCAGCAAACGCCCGGGATGTGCTGTCAAATACATTGCCCTGCACTGCCAGAACACCGGGCTGTTCACCAGCACAGCCAATCTCCAGCTATTCCAAGCCTCACCTGTTTGTTCATGCATTCTAACATTGATTTCCTCCAGACATTTGTTCTAACTCAGAGAGAGCTCCCATCATCAGCCTCGCTTCACAGGAAACGCTTTGCCACTGACTGAGCAGCTCTGCAGTCCCCAAGCAGCAAGAAGCCCCTGGCTGAGCCAGGAGCCCCAGAGCCACAGCAGGGAGCAGGAGGCCACGCTCAGCTCTTTTCATCTGGGACACGTGCTGGAAAATGGTAGGGCCAGGAGGAACAAACAGGGCTCTGCAGAGGGCTGCCACTGAAAGGATGGCTGATTAATTAATTGGAGTGCAAACTGAGGACGGGTTTTGTTCAATCGATGTTAATTGCATTTAATCTTATTCTTGCTGTTAAGAAAAGCCATCGGGCCGGGCTAGTGCCTGACACGCAGCTTTCACCCACACTTGGGAGGCGAGGCAGGAGGGGAGAAGTAATGGAAAGAAAGGAAATAACCCTTCCTCACCCCTTCTGCATCACTGCACAACTTCATTGGGTCTGTTCCATTATTTAAACAATTTTTGTTTTCCAATAAAATTACACAGGAGCTTTAAAGGACAAAAACTGGATGTGGAGCATTTCACCACTAGTTGTTCTGGCTCTCCTGGGTACTGGCTCAGAGCTTTGTAAACCCACAGAGCCGTGGCTATCCATCTGCTGCAAGGGACTGAAATTAAGAAAATCACCTGCGTGAAGCAGCGCCAGCTCTGCGCCCCCTGCCCCAGCACACCTGCAGCTGCTGCCTGCCTCTCCCACCAGATTGGCCAGAGCATCTCTCAGCTTGCTGCTGATCTCAGCTCCACATACCAAACAGCGCTGAACTCTGCCTTCCCCTAACACAGAATCATTAAGGTCAGAAAAGATCTAAGATCACCAAGTGCAACCCCAAACCCCCCACACCATGCCCACTGACCCGCAGTCCCTGAACGCCTCCAAGGACAGTCAGCCCAACCCTGTGCTGTAGTTTATCAGTGGTTTTCTTCGTCTCTTGACAAGCATTAGTGCCACTCTTTCCAAGTAAAGAGGACGTATCACAAATGCTGTGAAGGACTGGCTGAGCATTAAGTGGTCTGAAATGGCTTTACTAGACTCGGTCAAGACTGCTTTAAAATCATTTCCCTTTAGGACTGTGACCCTCTTTCTTTACAGCCAGCATAATGATTCTACCTCATAGGATGGTAATTGCATCCCGCTATCTATACACATCAGAAGGTAGAGACTGCAAACACAGCACAGCATCTCTCTGGAGCAAGCTGAAGGCAGGAACACACAGGAGGAGGGGATAATGCTGGGCCTAACCCTAACCCCTCTGCCCCACAGCCAGAGGCACCCCGAGCATTTTGCAAGCTCCTGGATTAGTCCCAGGAGGATCCAAAAGCAGAACAACGACAACTCGTACAAATACAGCTCCAGTTTTGGAAGGATTAAAATGAACTTCACCCAACTGTGAATATCCATTTCCAGAGCCAATAGGAATGGAAAACCTCTTACTGATGCAACAGTTATTGCAAACCCTAAAACCACAACATTTGCAAGCTAAGGACAGCAACAGTAACATAGTTCGCTGGGGGATACTGACAGCAGGGTTTAACTGCTGCACCACCAAGCCCTGATCTGAGCAACCTTCACAAAACCCACACACAGAAAGGCAACAGTTTCCACATAACCCCACTCCTGGTGGATAAAAGAAAAAAAATAATCCCAGAAGCCAAACGACTTTGGATTAAGTTGTATACGTGACCTGTAATCTCCTACTGGAAGAAAGAGATGCAGTAAATACTTGCAAAGCCATTCCAGTATTTTGAATTAAATGAATTACAGAAATGGAAAGTACACGATGCAAGACGTTACAAAACAAGGCGCCAGGAAGGTGCAGGAATTGGAAACAAGCTGGCAAATGATCCCTGCAGACTAGTGAGGAAAATTAATAGAGAGAAAAAGGATATGGTAACAATACTGACTGATGAACAGCAGCATTAGGTGCATAAATTCAGGATGTCAAGCTTCTACTTAAATC